ACAAGAGCTGTCATAGAACAGCATAGCTTGTCTTGCCAACATTTGTGAATCTAATAAGCCATCACTTGTTGTGTTATAATTTAAAAAAAAATATGTCAGTCCTATGATATTAAATTTGTTCACTTTTATAATAAGACTCTCTCTCATTTTTTTGTGTTTTTAAATATTTGATCCCCATGACCCCCACCCTGTCTGGCCTGGTTCCTGGGGGTTATATCAAAAATCAGAAAATGTTATGCAATTCTCCATACATAAATCTACCTTGTGTAAAAGTTTCAAGTTCCTAATTCATCGGCGATGTCTTTTAAAGACATACCGTCAAACTTATCCCTTTTGGCCCCGCCCATCTGTCCCCTTGGAGGTCAGGGAATTCATTTATACAATCTTGAATCCCCTTACTCTAAGGATGCTTCCTGCCAAATTGGGTTGAAATCTGCCCAGTAGTTTCAAAAGAACTAGAACTTGCCCTAAAACTTTAACCTGTAGAACTTGCCCAAAAACTTTAACCAATTCCAAAAACCTTGTGTTTAGGACCAATAATGAGCAAATATGGTCCAATTTGTTGCTAAGGAACCTCCAAGCAATTGCTGTAACCGTATTACGATGTAAAATTAATTTAAAGTTGAGTTAAACACCAAAACACAACTTGCCCAAATACTTGAACCAAGTGGGATGCCGTGGGTACTGCTATAGCCCCCTAGTCTTCGAATAGACGAGCTAAAAAATCAATTCTCATACCAAACACTACAAATTCAATTCCACACAACTAAATTAATTTAAATAAATATCTCCCTCCACAGTATTTGTATGGAGATTTGGAAATTTAATAGGATTTTTTTTTACAAAACTGGGTAAGGATCAGACAGCACTAAATTTCAGACAGGAATTAAGCCAAATAGTTTAACAGCTATAAAGGGCCACTAAATTACCAACGTGTCAGCCGAACCATAGAAAACAGCCCATTCTAATTGCAGCCAGGTCATCAATTGTTTCTAATGTTCAGTAAAATTTTGTAATTTTCTCTGTTTAAAGAAATGGACTGCAGAAATTGAATCTGTCTGATACTGCCATGTCATTTCTATTCAAAAGATTAAATGCTAGAAATTTCCAATTTGAGGCAAAATTAAAATCCGAGGTTTTTAATTGCATGCATGCTGTTATTCAAGTAACAAAAGCATCCTTTCTGGATATCAGACAGCACTTTGGTTACAGAAACTAAACAAACCGATTCTGTTTGTTTGAAGGATGATGTTGATTTGGTCTTGGTGTTTTGGTATGCACATGGCAAATAGGTGTCTATAACATAACGCCTGTATTTGATAATGAGAAAAAAAAAAGACCATGGAGTGATTGAAATTAAAACTCCCTGAGAATAACACTCAAAATAAGAGGAACATATTGATACAATTTTTCTTTTGTAAAACATAAATTTGCCATGCAGTACTGGCTTGTAACACAAAGGTTTGTTATATGAAGGTTAGTAATATAACGGTTTGTGACACACAGGTTTGTTATGTAAAGGTTTGTAACACACAGGTTAGTAATACAAAGGTTTGTGACACACAGGTTTGTAATATAAAGGTTTGTGACACACAGGTTTGTAATATAAAGGTTTGTAACACAAAGGTTTGTTATATGAAGGTTAGTAATATAAAGGTTTGTAACACACAGGTTAGTAATATAAAGGTTTGTGACACACAGGTTTGTAATACAAAGGTTTGTAACACACAGGTTAGTAATATAAAGGTTTGTGAAACACAGGTTTGAAATATAAAGGTTTGTGACACACAGGTTAGTCATATAAAGGTTTGTAACACACAGGTTTGTAATATAAAAGTTTGTAACTCACATGTTTGTTATGTAAAGGTTTGTGACACACAGGTTAGTAATATAAAGGTTTGTGACACACAGGTTTGTTATTTAATGGTTTGTAACACACAGGTTTGTTATGTAATGGTTTGTAACACACAAAAGTTTGTAACACAGTTTTGTAATATGAAGGTTCATGACACACACAGGCTTGTAATATGAAGGTGCATGACACACATAGGCTTGTAATATGAAGGTGCATGACACACATAGGCTTGTAATATGAAGGT